TGCTTAAAATTTCTGTCCCAAAATGGAAACTAAGCAGTTATTTTTCTTATGTTTTCTGCGAGTGTGTTCAGTGTAAGACCCAATGAGCAAATGCACACAAAGAAGGTCAAATGCTGATTTGGGTTTGGGTGAATGTTCGTATCTGGGATCAGATTCTTTCTCAAGCACCCTTGAGTAGAACAGCGGGCAGAAAGAAAACATTAAAATATTAAGACAGAGACCCCTCCATCTACAGGGCATGTTTGTGTGGCAGGAGCTGATGAAAACGCCAGGAAGAGCAGGTTGCCAGCTCAGGGACACAGCGCACAGCAGTTTTCGATCAGATTTGACTTCCGAAGCAAGAGTTGATTTAGTCGTACATTCTGCTTCTGTGCCAAGCTGTACTTAATGCTCCCCTTTGGGGACCTGGGGGTGGGTGGAGGACTTTTCAAGTCAAGAGGGTGCTTTTGGCTTTGCTCTCTTATTGCTGAAGTGTCCCTGTGAGTCCCAAGAGTAATACTTGGCTGACATGCTCACACCAATTGTTTTATGTTGTCTATCAATCACAGTGATGAGTTTATTAGAAGTAGGATTCCCTCTTCCTGTGGGCTTACATGTAACATCACCAACCTTTAAAAAAATGCTGCATGATTTATTTATAGAGTGCCTTTGACTTATCAATAATAATGCTTTGTACTTAATTTATAGATTACTGTTTTAATTTGTAAAATAGTAGTTTAGGGTTATGTTCCTACAAATTAAAAACTCACAGATAGCAGCCTGCCTTTGCCTCCCAAGTGCTGGGACTAAAGGTGTGCACCACTACACCTGACAACATTTTATACTTTTAGATGTTATTTATATTGATTAACTACTTTTAATGTGTTTGATGCCATTCTGTCCATATGTAAATAGAAATACTCAAACTTCATGGATATTCAGTTACTGCACAATTATTTTTGCATGTCTAATGTATTTTGGGTATTATTATATATGTTTACAAAACGACAGTGAGGGTCTGCCTTCTTGTTTTTTACTACCTCTTCCTTGCCTTTTACAGTTTTAAGTCCAAATTATAGAAGGAAGGAAGGAAACAAAACAACTCAACTGCTGAAAGAATTTTCAATTTTAAAATTAACCTTGTTCTGTGAAATAGTAAATGCAGACATGTTTACATGGGGACTTTTAAATACCTGACATGTTACCATGACAATACAAATCAATACCTTCAGACGCTGCTCTGAACTTGTAAAGACTTGCATGCGAGCAATGTATTACACTGCCATAAAATATTTAGGTATTTTGAGTAGTATTTAGACAAACAAGATAAATGTGATCAAATGACATCACCTCTAAAGACAGTTTCTTCCTGGAGAAAGTCACCTGATTATATTCAACTGGGACCTGGTTAACAGGCACTTGCCAAGGTTTGGTACTGGATTTCCTAGCAATAGATCTATAAAAACGTGTACCGAGTTCCCATCACTGCCATAGCTACCTCACTTCTGGCTTTAGATCAGTGCTGATGTAAGAGTGGGTCTAGTTAGATAAGGGCCAGATCGAGGCCTTGTTTCCAGTCAGTGCACATTCATGGAGAATCACCTTTGACCCCAGCAAATGGCACGGTGCAATGGGGTGTCCTCTGTGGGAGATCTGGAAGAAATCAGTCCCAAGCTAGTCAGCCTCCTTCCCCACCTCACACGCGGGGTATTTCACAGTTCCTCGGTGAAATACCCAACGTCGCATTCTTCTCCGGGATGACTCAGTCGGTGACGGAATGGCTAACAGCTGTGCGCGGCAGGCATGTTTCCTGCCACCGCAAAGGGACGGCAAGCGCTAGGGAGCACGTCAGTCCCACCACAGCCCTCCCAGGCGGCTCAAACAGAAACCTCGGGCTTGAGATCTGCCAAAAATATCTGGCAAAGGGATCGTTTATTTATTGTTTTTCAAGGACAAATATGCAATTGAGTCCGTTCCTCAAAGAGGTTTGTGAGGGTGAGTGGAAGTTCGCTGCCCACCTGCAATGAGCCCGAACTTGTAAAGAGATAATGGGCAGGGGAGTGACTTTTAGAAACTCGCAGGGCAAACACGAGTCCCTTTGCTTGGTTCTCTCAGGACCTGAAGAGAATGTGCAAACGGAGAGAGCCGAGCATGTACTCGGGTCCCACATGGCAGGGCTTGGTTTTATCGCACAGTGTAGATCTCTGCCAAGGGTAGAGTTCAAATTCATTCCGCCGTTTCACCTAGCCTCTCGTCGTGACCCACGGCCTTGATACAGCTTTTCTTTGTTCTTCCACAATGTGCTTCCAATACGTCCAGGATGTAATGTGTGCGAGAGAATCAGCGTTATTGCCTTTGGCAATTATATAATACCTACTACGCGCCAGCGCCGATCTCATGTTACATAAATACTAAGTCATTTAATCCTCAGAACAAATATGTCAGTGATGTGTGATCATTACCCCCACTTTACGAATGGCTGACCAAGCGTGTGAGGGCACAGTGCTATGCCTGGAATCACACAGCAAGGGGATGACCTTTCCAACATGAACTCCTAGTCTGTCTCAACCCCTGTGACCAATGTTAAGGAGCAGCCTTTTGTATATTACGCTCTGCTACCTCGAACACTAGCACACTGCTTTCACTGTATATGCTTTTTCTTGGCTTTCACTAGATTTCAGCTCCTAAGAGGCTTCCCTGGTGATTATATACAACATAGTCTCTTGCTTTTGCAGACTATTTATAAGTTGCAAATGTGTTTTCCTTATCATTTGATCTTCTTACCAACCGTGAAAATACTTACGCTTTATCTTCTGACTATGAGGACTTAAGAAGCTTGTAGTAATCCTGACACTAAAAAGTCCCTGGGTTTGTTTTTTTTTTTTTTTTTTTTTTTTTTTTTCGCGAGGGAGACGGAGAGGTTTAGCATTCTTCCTAGCACAGCAGGTCGGTTTATCATTTCTTTCTTGCAAAATATAGAATAATACCGAAAATAATTTTAATGACTCTAGAGAAATTCCAGAGGCATTTTTAAAAGAAATATTTCAAATAACTAAAGAAAGACCAAAGTAACAGGTGGATTGTTGCATTGAGAAAAAGCTTCTTGGAGTGAACAAAGGCAGCTGGGCTCTCGTCCTGTTTTTCTTATTTCTTGGCCTGCCCTAGTTGAGCGCCTTTGGCAGCAGAGGCCCTAGCGCCCCTCTGCCCTCTGGTGTAGCCTTTTACAGGTAGCTCATTTGCAGCTAACTCTTCATCGCTCAGTCACACACTTCCCTCTGTCCTGGAAGCCATGTTGCTTGTTGTCTGGCAAATCTCAAAGAGGACAAACATGGCTCAAGGTGCAGCGCTCTTTAGTGTAGAATCCCAGCATGCTTTCTGTTTGTCAGAAGGGTGGAGAATCTGCAGCTGCGGGGGTCAGGGCCTACTCAGTTACATGGACATTTACATTTCTGCTTTAAAAAAAAAATACAGTTCTCTCTCTGTGTTCAGTACTTCATTTAGAGCCAGCTCTGTGTGTGCACGTATGCACATGTATCAGTTTTACTTTTTGTTTTAAAATGTGAGTCTGCAGTTGAGCAAAATAGTAATGTGTGCTTTCTTTAATTGTTCAGGGCTGCCAAGAATACTGGATAATGCTAAATACAGCAGGGGTGAGGGTGAACATGTAACTACATGTCACCACAGGCCCTGGCACATCATCCTGGAATCATCCTGGAATGTTTAGGACTCTGAAATGGGCTGCCTCTCACTGGATTCCTGGATTTGAAATCAGGGATGTATAAAGCCATTAAATATACTGGAATTGGGGCCAGGGGATGACAATTGTCTTGTCCTTTGGTTTTCTGGTTTTAGATGAAGCAGTGGAGACACAGAAAAGTTATATGCTTTTTGCTACATCAAACATCTCACATGCTTGATTTCATCATATAACATATGTCGGTGGTCACCCACATGCCATATCTGCTGGACAGGGCATCACGTGAGAGATGAATCAAGTAAGAGAGGCTGGCAGAAGATCTAACTCAGTACTATATATGCCAATACAATGCATACTCCATATGCAGTCTTATGTTGCTCCATAGGCCACATTTTTAAAACATTTTTAAAATATGAAATTAATTTTAAAAATAGATCTTAAGTTCATCTTAAGCAAATATTAGCATTTCAACAAATATATCAATAATAAATAGAAGTTGATTAATAACTTTGTTACTATAACATTATTAAGCGATCATGTTTTTGTCTTTTAGTTCTTTCAAAGTCAAACTGTGTTGTTATATTTTGGCTACATCTGAATTTGTATTATATGTTTCCCATGCCTATTAGATGACATGGTGCTAGAATCACAACTGAAAAAAGATGGTGCGCTTTAAATCTTCTGAATTTTATTACCTATTTTTAAAGTTTAGTTTTAATGTGAAAGAACAAGTTTAGTCCATCTCTTCCTAAATTATAGAATAAACAAAGCTTCAAATTATTGTTTCAGCTGGCTCGAGACAAATCTGCTAGCACTCTTTCAAGGAAGAAATACCTTTTGCCTATACAAACATCTTATTTTTCAAGCAAGCAGATTTGTGTGTGTGTGTGTGTGTGTGTGTGTGTTTGTGCATGTAGCATAAAATATAAACTATCAACCAACTCAAAAATATTATAAAACGGCCATCTTAGTTTTCTATATAATTATCTTTCATTTATTTTTATGACATTTACTTATTGATTTGTGTCTGTGTGTGTGCATGTCACAGAGGTCAGATTGTGTCTCTGTGTGTGTGTGTCACAGAGATCAGATTGTATCTGTGTGCGCATGTGCGTGACACAGAGGTCAGATTGTGTCGGTGTGTGCGCATGTGTATGGCACAGAGGTCAGAGGGCAGCTTCCAGGCGTCAGTTCTCTATTTCCACCACGTGGGTCCTGAGCTTGAACTCTGATTTTCAGCCTTGCCAGTAAGTGTCTTCACCTCATGGGCCATTGCTGGGGCCAATGTCTTTCATTTGTTTATGCAAATGAAGAGTTGGTTCTATTGACACAGGAAAGGCACTTTTATTTAACAGACTGCCATTTAGAGCATCCTTGAGAGATACTTAATATCAAACATAGAAAAAATGAGAATACAGAAAGGATTACTGCTTCTGGTTGTTCCTCGCATTTCCGTTTCTGAGACAATCTACAGAAGCAAAGAGGCTTTTAGTGTTCAGGTCCAGGCAAAGTTAAAGGCATTGCGGGTACACCTCTCATCTTGACCTTCTTTGGAGTCATCGTGCACAGTTCAGGAGAGATGTACTGGTTTGTCCAGTTTAAGATCCTTAGCTTTGGAATTAAAACCGGGGCTGAGAAGAGAAAGAAGAGTAAAGACTACTACATAGAAATCACTGATTTTGACCACTTTTCTGGTCTCTGAGTTTAGAACAGGACAATCCTCCTAAAGGACTCATGTACATCCATTTAATTCTCTATTTAACTCATAAGTCCTGGACCATTTATCCAAAGGCTACTGTTGCCGTTCCTTGAAGTTGATTGGGACTTGCAAATGATTCCACATTAATAAAACTTTCTTACCACATAATATGATACCATACAGCCTTATGAGTGTAAGATCTTAATTCTCTTCCAGATTTAAGTTCTTATCCATGCCAGTGAAGTCAGAGGATAGACCGCCCTCCCCCATATATGGCTAAATGTTTGTGGCCATAAGTGACAGAGAGCGGGACCATCATTGACTTAACCCTTTAACAAGCAATGCAGTAACTTGTTGAACACTCAACCCTTTCTGTTTTGCTATCCATAAATGGTACTGAGTTTTCTGCCTAGCTCTTTCATCATCTCAAGATATATGCCCCAAGTAAGTTATTCCATATGTTGTGGCTTGAATAGAATATCCACCTAGGCTCATATATTTGAATGCTTGGTCTCCAGTTGGTTGAACCATTTGGGAAGGATTAGAAGCTATGGCTTTGGAAGAGGTATGTCAGTGGAGGTGGGCTCTGAGATTTCAAAAGCCCATACCACCATTCCCAGTCCTTCTCCCCGCCCACCATCTCTCTGTCTTATGCTTGTAGATCAGATGTAAGTTACCAGCTACTGCCCCAGTGTCATGCTGGCGTACCTGCCTGCTACCATATTCCCCACAGTGACAGTCATGGACTCTAACCCTGTGACCCTGTAAGCAAGCCTCCAGACTAAACGCTTTCTCTCATTAATTGCTTTGTTCATGGTATCCCTTCACAGCAATGGAAAAGTAAAACACCCAAACAAGCAAACCAAACAACACCAAACAAATTGCTATGGTCAGCAGAAAAGCAACACTCTTTTCTTCATGTCTGCCTTTAATATAGAAAAAAGAACCCTTTCCCGTCCAACTCTCCCTGGTCGGTTCCCTTCAAATAGTTTGCCAAACTTCCCCACCTGCCAGCACCTTAGACAGTCACTGCTGTGAGATGATAGCTCCGTGACACGCTATGAGTGCGTTCTGCACAGAAGCTGGGGCCGAGCCTGGCCTCTCAGAATGTACATAGCCACAAACATATGTAGATGTTTATATCACACTGAGGATCTGGGGCTCTTGGCTGGGGTAGAGATTAAGTTCCGAATCAACAATTTCCATACAGTGTGCTACAGGGAAGTACATAGATGCAGGACACTGTCAATATACTCGGAGTAGGCCACCTGACTCAGCACACCAGGACCAAGCCGGAGGAGAACCTCAGAGTCAACTTCTAAAGAAGGCATTGCTTGGCCTGGCTTGTGACGAGCAAGGGGAGGCAGCCAAGGGAAAGGATGAAGGTGATGAGCGAAGTCTCAGAGAGACTGAGAGAAAGGAGGGGAGCCACAGTGGTCTGTGGGTGATACAGAAAAATAATCTGCCTTAAGTTATAGAGTGCAGTGGTCAGAGAGGGGAGGATCCTCAGAAATAAGCCCAGGGGAGCAAAGTTCAGATCATAAAGGGTCTCCTAAGTCCTGAGCCAATGAAAGGAGGACAGAATCCAATAGCATAATCAGATATGTTTGCAGAAGCATTTTTGTCTGCCGTGGGGAACTGGACTCAAAGTCAAGGATAGGGAGAACATGTAAGAACTTATTACCTAGCTAAAATGGTGAGGCGTCCTAATCGAGTGTCCATGAGACTGAAGAGACATGGGTAGTTGATCAAAGTTTCTGTCCTGCCCAGACCCACAGCCATTTAGTCCCAAAGAAACACACAGAGGTCTACATTAATTATAAACTGATTGGCCTATTTATTAGCTTAGGCTTCTTATTAACTCTTATAACTTATATTAGCCCGTAATTCTTGTCTGTGTTAGCCATGTGGCTTGGTACCTACTTTGGCCAGGCAGTCACATCTTGCTTCCTCTTTGTCTGGATGAATCTTTCCTTTTCCCAGAATTCTTCTATTCTCATTTTCCCACCAATATTTCCTGCCTGGTTGCCCCACCTATATTTCCTGCCTGGCTACTGGCCAATCAGCGTTTTATTAAAATTCAGTTGACAAGGTACAGACCATTGTCCCACAGCAGGTGGTGTTCCTGGGCTTTCAAAGTTTCAGGAAAACAAGGCTGGCTGCTTGGAGAGGAGAGACTGGGAAATCAGTAATCTCAGATGTCTGACTGAGACAACTAGGGAGATGGTGATGGTGTTCTTAGAAGCAGGCTATCCAAATGACAATCAGTTTCGAGGTGGATTGACCTGAACTGTACAACATTGAGTGGAGGGGTCTACTCTGTCTGGAACTGAGGTTGATAGCCTGCTCCCGGGCGCACATTTCTATGCTCGGTGACACAATGAATGGTAAGTGATAGAGGGGCATGACCAGAGGCACTAGAGTTTACTACAAAAGATACGAGCCAAACAAGAGGGCCACAGGGTGTTCCAGAAGTTCGGGGCATCTCTCTGAGAAAGGAAAAAAACAGGGGAGTCTGAAGTTCTTTGTTAAAAATACAAATTCTAGGGGAAAAAAAAATCCTTCTGAATGAGGAGATCCAGACTCAGAAAGACAAATACGATATGTCCTCACTTTTAAGTGGATATAAGACATAAAATAAAGAATAACCAGGCTACAATTCATAGACCCAGAGAGGCTAGGTCACAAAGAAGGTCCAAGGGGAGGACACATGGATCTACCTGGAAAGGGGAAATAGAGATCCCCTGGGTGGGCTGGAGGAGAGGGTGGACATGGGACCTTGAGGGATTTGGTTGAGGGATAGGCAGAGGGGGACAGTGCTGAGAGAGAAGATTGGAACGGGGGGCTTTAAGAAGTCAGGTAGAGGCAAAGGAAACTTCCACAAGTCTACAAGGATGGCGCCAGTTAAGACACCTGACAGTAGTGGGTGCGTAGCCTGAACGGCCCATGCTCTGCGATTGGATTGGTGATGCTTGTCATCAGATAGCCTTCATCCAGTGACCGATGAAGGCAGATTCAGAGACTCTGGGCCTCAGGGAGCCCTGCTGAGGAGACTGTAGGAAACAGGGGGGTCCAGCGTATCACAGGAAATCCCACAGAAACCACTAACCGGGCTCATGGGAGCTAACAAAGTCTGAACCAACAACCGGTGTAACATGAAGGGGCCTACTTGTTTGTGTTTCTGTCCTGCCCTGCCCCCCCCAGCTGTTTAGCCCCAAAGAAAATGACACAGAGGACTCCCTAAGTTATAATGCTGATTGGCCTGTTAGGTCAGGCTTCTTACAGACTAACTCTCACATCTTGACTAACCCATTTTTCTGATCTATTTTAGCCATGTGGCTCAGTACCTTTTTCAGTGGGGCAGCTTGCATCCTGCTGCTTCGGTGATCTGGGCAGGAGTGGCAGGAATCAACTTCCTCCTCCCCAGAATTCTCCTGCTCTCTTTGCATCATTTCCACTTCCTGTCTGGTTTTCCCGCCTATACCTCCTGCCTGGCCAATCAGCGTTTATTTAAAACATGATTGACAGAATACAGACAATTCTCCCGCACCAAACTGGGGAGCCTGCATGGGTCTGACCTAGGTCCTGTGCATATATGTGACAGTTGTGCAGCTTGGTCTATATGTGGGACTCCCGGCCATGGGAGCAGGAGCTGTCCTTGTTGCTTTGACAGGCTCTTGGGTACCTATTCCTCATCCTGGGTTGCCTTGCCCTGCCTGGATACAGGGTGGGGAGCTGGGGGTGCCTGGCCTAAGGCAATTTAATATACCATTTTCCTGAAGCCCATGGGAGGCCTGCCCTGTCCGTGTCTGAGAGAGCTATTAGGGAGGAAGGGTGGTTTGAGGGAAGAAGGAGGGATCAAGACAGGAGGGAATGCGAGGTGAAGACAAGGATAGAAGGGAGGCTGTGGTCTGGATGAAAGATAAATTAGCTAATTAAAAATAGAAAAAAAACAAATTCTGGCAGAGTGTCACACACAAAGATTAAAAAGTGGGAACAAACGAGAGGAAGGTCTCATTGTCACTGAGGAACAATAAGGAGCAGCGTGACTAGGGTAACTTTGAATGTATAAATAAAATAGAAATTTAGTGGCCTAGTTGGAGTGAAACAATTAAACACTTTTCCTATATTGATCTTTAACTGTGAGATAAGCAACAACTTTCAATTTTCAGTAGTGTGCAATCGTAAACATCGGTTTCTTCCTTTTAGGCGTGGAGGAGGAGGCACCTGTATCTCCCACTACAGGTTGCTGTTAGGCCTTCCTTGGAGTTTTCTTTCTCAGACTATCTATCTTGGAGCATATTTTTGTTGTAACATTTGGCAACTCAGAGTGGCAGGGGAGACTGTTGATCCAACAAAAACACACAGCCTAGAAGAGGTAGTATTGCTTGTGCCCACATTCTGTTCGCTTTTAAAACAATGTGGCCAGGCCCCGTGTCATTGAGGAAGGAAGTTGGGCAGTAGAAGGATGGCTACTTTTGCTAAACAATAGTGTAATTACACGACATCGGGATAGAAAAAAAACGCCATCAGACTTGACCCATGAGCTCTACAGCTTTGGGGACCTCTTGCTTCCCAGCCAGAGTGATTAATGCACTTTATATGAAACAGAATCACAATCTCAACCAAGGGGCATTGCTTTCTGCCCCAGGCTTCAGTTGGTCTCCACAGGCGTGGCTGCCCAAGAGGCTGGTACTTGGGTTGACTGGTTAGAATAGAGCCTGCAGATCAGATTGCGGAGCGTTTCGTTTGAGGGGCTTCTTCCCAAAAGCCCAGCACATTTAGTGCAGGTGAAGCAAGTCTTTGTGCTGACCATTGTACCAATATTGTATCTTCCTTATTCCTGTGAACCCCACATAAGCTGTGCAGTCCCTACTGTCCGTGATTATTGCATGGCTGAGAACGGAGGACCTCCTCAAACTACATAGCCTCCTCCAGATAATGAACTAATGATGACGTAAGGGCGAGAAATTTATATCTGAATCAAAGATGTATGACTAAGATATGTCAAATCAATACCCATATTTTAAAGACCAAATAATCTCATGGCACTTGAGTACAGTGTACTTGGCCACATGGGAATATACCATGACTCATGAGACAGTTTTATAATATGGCAGCAACGACATGGTCACATCATACTCAGGGTCTCTCACATCCTGCTGCTACATCCTTCCCAAATTTCACTCAGCACTTTTTGTCATTCCGTTCTGGACTTTGGTGCTGTTGCAATGAGTACTGACCTGGGGAGGATGCAGATACTGAAGAAAGCATCCCCCAAAAGCCAATAAGGAGACCGAGTCCCATATGTAAAAGCAAAGAGTCTTTATTTTGTGTAAATTTTCAAACTTGGTCTCTCCACATGTCCAATGTATTGGAATAAATGGAGAGCACCAAGCTCAGTTAGAGTTGGGTATTTATGGTAGTAAAGGTGGGGGTGAGGGGTTTCTGAGGCTCAAGATCCCTGATTGGATGACATTTGTCTAGGGGTGTCCTGGTGAGTGTGGTCTGGCAGGTGATCCTATCTACAACGGTTGGAACGTTAGGCATTTCCTTTGGAAGGTCTTTTCTTGGGTGGTACTCAGGTAATCTCAGTTTGTGGTTCTTTCTGCAAACAGGTATTGTTTCAGAGTAAACTACTGAGACTCAGGCCTCCATTAAACTTATGGATGGCTGAGTCCTACTCTGGCAGGTGATAATGGTTAGAAGTAAAGAACTTCCATTGGGTGATTTGTTCATATTTAGCCTATCACGGCTGACTCCTACAGAAAGATGTACCCTTCCAAGCATCCATAGCTCCCTCATATGATCACTTAGCTATCTTGGTACTAAATTCTGCTGAGTACCAGTATCCCACTTCATCATTTTCTGAATGTTGAAGGAGATATTTGAGAGAAGGTAACAATAACAGAGTGAGTCCAAAGGCATGAAGCCTGGGCAAGACTGGACTTTGAGTAGTCCTTTACAAATGGTGCTGAGATCCTTACATAGTAGAGGTCATGGGGTCATCCGTGAGGAATTTGTGAGCATATACATACCTTGTGCATAGTAGGCAACAGAGTGGAGGTTGCATGACTATTATGTCATGGAGAAAAGGCTTTGATGAAGGCAGGTTCAGTGTCTTCTGTTGGGAAGAAGGGATGAGCTAGGGACCATGACACAAGCCTCATGTAAACAAGCAAAGGTGCAGACTTAGAAAGCTGGTGCAGGAGGGGATAGGAGAAAGAATGGAAACCTGAAGGATGGACAGATGGTGGACAAATGGAGTGCGATCTGTCTTAGCGCTAATGCCCTTTCATTCTGCTCGCTATTCCTAAAGTGTTTTTGTGCTTCTAACATAGGATGTGTCATTGGAGAAACAGGCTTTGGAAATTTACATTTAGTCTAATTTTATTGGCTACAAACAGATTTATCAGTTGAAAAACAAATCCTTATAATCCATACCTTATATTCACATACTGATAGTTATCCATAAATCCTAGAAATACAAATGTCTTATATTTTAATCAAGACGTCTCCTTTGGTTTATTGGTGGTTTTAGACTAAGAGCCAAATAATACCCTAAGAGTTTAACAAGCATTGGTTTTCTTAGGTGATTTAGTTCTCTTATTCTCACCCCTAACTACTGAGCTTACCTACACGCTTGCGTACACATGCACATTTCTACAGCTGGTAGTCTGGCTATTTGGACCCTGAGGAATGAGCACAAGAACACAGTATTGGCCAGGGACTCAGAGAGGTGACCTGGAATGTGACCAAGGCCCTCCAAGTGACAACAGATGAGGTGGCAGCTCCTCTGACCCTCAACGAACAGCTCTGCTTCACTACTCCAGAAATGGCGTGGAGAGTTTTCGTCCCCTTTACTGTGAGTCTCATTTCCTGTAGGACTGACACCGGCATTAGCCGGCACACTCCCCCCCCCCACCTGCATCTGGAAAAGTACTTTTCCAGAGCTGGTCTTCTATGGAAAATTTAAAGCCTTTGAAAAGCTCACTGCAGCGTTTGTAGGAACAGTACCGAGGACAGAGGAGGATACTTCATTGCTTCTCCCAGCAGAAATGTTCACTGTGCCATGGATTGCAAACACATAGGCCTGGAGAAATGGCTCAGATCTAAAAGGTTAAGGCTCAGAACCAAAAAGATAAACACACTCCGTACAGAGATTGGACTCTCTCTGATACATCTAGACGTCACCTGAGAGGTCTTAGCAATGTCTTTTAAAGAGATTTATCTGAGATTTCTCAGACACATACAAGTAGAATTATGGCTTCTCCACAGAACCTATCCAAAGCCAGGGGTTGCTATGTCATCCCATGATTTTCCCACCATTGATGGAAAATCCCTGTCAACTGAGCCAGAGTCCACAGACTGTGAGCAAATGTCTGTTTCCTTGCCACCACTGAGTGTGCGACACTCTTTTTCAATTGGTGAAATCACCATGAAAGGTCAGGAGATTCAAGTTACAGGCATGACAGGATCCAATTGCTTCTCAAGCATTGCATCCGAAGGGGAGATATTTCCTGAACGTAACACGAAATTAGAATTTGTATTTTCAGAGTTTTGAGTCAAACCCAACCCATTTTTTTAGATGATTTTCCCTTGTGGGGATATACTTTAAAACAATGAAGAAGATAAATACGGAAATGACTGAGATGTGGGGGTAATGCCCAGCATCGCTGTGATGAACAACTCATCCATCTTTATATTAGGAACACTTGGAGAAGAGTACTTGGGGATTTAAAATAAATATTTTTCATATTTGATGGCCTGTTCTTTTGCATGTGTATATTAACTAATTGTTTCCCTAAAGTGACATAAAAGCTGTTTTGTTTTGTTTTGTTTTTGTTTTTGTCTTCTCCAGACAAAGGGGGAAGCATTTCCTGAGTGTTTCATTACAAAATAAATATAGGAAAGAGATTGTTTGCGTATAGACTGAGGTAAAAATGCATGACACCAGCAAACATCGTCTGCAAATGAAAAATGTTGAGTTTAGATAGTTATTTGTAGTTTCATTGTTAATTGTAAAAATGCATTCATAAATTACGGAAGAATAGATAAAAACAAAATCATCTTGCCTGTAAACACTAACACAATTATGCTTACCGTTCTCCACAGCCTTTTGAACATTATTCTGTATCTGTAAGTTATAGTTTGTGAATCTTAGATATGAGAACAAATTTTTCTCTGTTCAGAACCTTTTTTATTATTTTCCTCGTTAGTTCCTTTGGGATATTTGTTTCGGTTTCAGCCTAACTTCAGGGTACACATTACAGCAGTAGATGCAAAGACATCTTGGTCTTTATCCACAAATCAAAGTGAATACACAGAGCTTTGTAATTTTAATGAATTACTGCATGCTCCCCATGAGTTTCTTGTCCTTCTAACTGGAAAAGTAC